CTCTCTCTCTCTCAACAATAAGTAAACATTAAAAAAATAATAATAATAAAATAAAATAAAATCTTAAAAAAAAAAGACTATTGCAATAGGGGAGAGATTGAACTCAACAGAGGTGGGACAAGGGAGGGGAAGGAATTGCAGGCCACCTGTATATGCTAACTGGTTTTACCCAAAATAGAAATAAACTTTCTCTTATTTTACTGACAGGGGGTAGTGTTAAAATTTGGAGCTAGGCACCCATGAAGTTAGGCTACTGCCCTTCCACAGAGACTGGGAGATAGGGTTACCATCTTGTTTGGTGAATACATTTCAAGGGGGTAGCTCTCAGGTTGAGAGAGACCTTCCCCCTTGGATCTGTAAAACTGGAAAGAGACTTAAATATATTTCAAAGAGGGAGGGAAAGATTTTGCAATTAGAAGTTTTCTTTTTTTTCTTTTTTTTTAAGCTATGAGCACAGTGCCAGACCATTCAATATTTATTCAATCAAGAATGCTAATTCAGCTGTATATAAACTAACAGGAGGAGACAGATATGCAAACATATCAGGGCAATGGTATTATACAACAGATAACACTGTTATCTGTGTGAAGTAGGTATTATTTTTTTTCAATATATGAAATTTATTGTCAAATTGGTTTCCATACAACACCCAGTGCTCATCCCAAAAGGTGCCCTCCTCTATACCCATCACCCACCCTCCTCTCCCTCCCACCCCTTGCAATTAGAAGTTTTCTAAAGTAGATTCTCTCAAAAAAAAAAAGGGAGGTCATGGACCTATTGCCAAGAGGAAACTTATCTGAAGTTTAATCAAGATGAGGAAAAATGTAAGCCTATGTTGGTCAATAGAATTAGTGAAGTGAATGAGAGAAGGAACAGTTCAAGAAATGGGAAAACCAGGACACTTACTATATAAAGGAGCCGAAGGAAGATGGAACTCCAATATGAAAAGAAGGCAGCATTAAGTGCTTCAGAGAGGTGAAAGAGGAAAGGTCAGAGGGGTCACAGTTACCTTGATGCTTCAGTCTAGGTTGATGATGTATAGTTTTCTGTGGGAATTTTATTATTCCAGTAATTATTATAGGATAATAAATACTATAATTTTCATTATTGTATTGCTAATAATCATAGCATAATTCATTTTTCCTATTAGAATAGTCA